CCCTCCACTCCACTCCCCTCCCCTCCCCTCCCCTCCACTCCACTCCACTCCACTCCACTCCACTCCACTCCACTCCACTCCACTCCACTCCACTCCACTCCACTCCACTCACTCACTCATTCAGGGCTTCTGAGCTTCTGACGGGAAGGTTGCAAATCGTTTGGGTGATCTGTTGTAGCCCTTCTGCTGGCACCGTTTCTCCCCAATAGTCCCGAGTCCATGCCCGGTTCCCGACAGATGCAAACGATTCATGACTTAAGCCTGCAACCTAGATTGACGTAAAACCTGGAAAAATTAGCCAGGTATCAAGTCATGTTTCCGTCGGTAGGCGGCATCAGCTCCTGAAAAGCTGCACGCAGACTTTCTGAGCTGCGCAGGGATCAGACCTGGTATTTCATCTTTCGCAGCAGCGGCTACACCATGCACAATCCCGAGGCCGGCAAAGAAGCAAGTCAAAAAACAGGACTTGTAAGATTGAAGAGAGAGCCGACTTGAACCCCGAGAGAGGACGGAAGTTGGGCAGTGGAGTTTCAGTGCAAGGGTGACAAGGCGGGGGGGATGTCGTCGACGACTGATCAACGACATTCGACTCGGAGAGGCGCGGCTGATGATCTGGACTCGGCAGCCCGCCGGTCTCGGTGCCGTCTGCACGGAGTTCAAGGCAAAAGCTCGTTGGGCTGACCGGTGGCTCCTCGGCCGGGTGGCTTTGCGTCGGAATCTGTGAACGCACTGGCGACCCAAGGACTCATGTCGCGTGGAGCTTAGTCTCAGAATTGAAGTGTGTGTGCGTGATGACGCCTTCTGCTTTTGCAAGTCAGAGTGCGTCGAGCGCTTCGAGGCGGTGGTGATGCGAGTGGGAGGTGCTTTCCCGCAGCTCTACTTGAATGGCCTTCCCGAGGAAGTGGAGGACTGACTGTTCTGCTCTTCAGGCTCTTCAGGGCACTTCTTCGCACATGTTGTTTTTCGAGAATCATCGAGAATCGCATCAGGACAGCTCTGCTCCTTGGTCTGAGTTGGAAGACATCGTCTACAACGAGAACCAGTACCTGATCATCGGAAAGGCAGGGTCCGCTCGTGCCGCATTTCGCATTTCCCGCCCCAGAGTAGATCAGAGCATCAAAAGCAACAGTAGGCATTGGGCCAGCATTGACTTGTAAGTTCTGCAACATGCATGCCAGGCAGCAGAAACTGACCAGCAGTTTGAATCTTGGCTGCAGCTGTCCAGCTCAGTTGAAAGTATGCGCACACGAATGGTCCAGTTCGGCAGCTTTGCCAGGACGGCTTCATCGATCATTTCGAGATTTACGAGGAGAGCCTGACCCCTCAGTTCATGCGCAAGCACTACAACACCATCGAAGCCGCAAAGGATGAAGGAGCACTGATTGGCATTAAGCTAGGTTGTGTGCAGTTGCAGCTTCCGCCGACCAGGAGAGGAAGCCACAATAATTCGCCAAATATGCCTTCCACCGACCGACACTACAGGCAACGTCTTCATGACGCGTCATTCTTTGTTTTTCATGCAACAGGCTGACTTTCAATTCCATGCAGTCGGCAAGAGCCCGAGGCTACATCATCCAGGGCGGCAGTGCAGCACGAAACAGCTTCGATGTGTCAGCAAGCTGCGATGATGCCATGGGGCCACCCGTTTGCCAATTAATGTGTGGCAGCCTGACCTTGTGGCACATGAGCTGTCCTTCTCGAGAGGCATTGAGCTGAGCAATATGCATCTGAAGGCTACAGACACGTCCTCAACAGCCCTGTCAGGTATGGAGGGATTGCTGTCGTCACTCGCTGTTCCATGACCTCCAAGCGGTATGCTCTAAGTGGCTGCCTGCTCAAGGAGCAGTGCCTTGGCTGGAAGGGTCGCGGCCCAGCCGATCCTGACCGGGTCCTGACCTGACCCTCCCAGGTGTTCTGCAGATCGCTGCCTGGTGAAAAGTTGAGCCTCTGGGGCCTCTGGGGCCTGGGCGGCCTGGACTCCAGCCTCGCTTAAACCTAGGACCTTGCACGCAATTTGGGGCGGATGCGCCTGTCGTTGCCAGCTCTGGTTTCGCAACTTTCAGTCCGAGTCTACACTCCTTTGATGCACAACGGCAGGGGCAGGCAGTGATGTATCGAGGCTAGGTAACTGCCAGCATCGCGAGCGAAAAACAAGGGCAAGCGGCCCTACGACTGCATATCGACCTACCTCTCATTGGCATACTGGTCTTCGCAACTTCCTTCAAGGTCGTGTCCAGCAAAACAGCCCAGCGACACCTCTTATCGAGGCCGCCGCTCGCCGTTCCATCCTGGCCCCTGTCGCCGGGGACCGAAGACCTGCAGCGATAGGAAGCACGAACAAGAATGCAAGCACAGGACTCTGCAGAACTGTGCTTTCGTTATCGTTCCACTCCATGCTTGCGAAAAGAACTGAGGCTCGGGGAGGCGACAGTCTGAAAGAGCAAAGACTTCCGGTAGATGCAGCAGTGTAGAACTGACCAAACTGTTGTAGCATGGTAGCATCACAGACATGATAGACACGGTCAATCAACACGCAGACACAACCTCTGAGCAAACTCCTCAGAGTCAACAGCTAGGTCCAACGTCTTGCGGTGCTCGCGATTCGAGGTGCTCTGTGTGGCGCTTTGCGTTGTCGTTCAGCGATTCAGCGCAGCCTTCCTCCCGGCACAGACGCTCAGAAGTGACGTAGGTCGACTAAGGCCAATCCATAGAAACTTTCGAGCTTTTTTGGCACATCGCATTGAATGGGCTTTCTTGCAGCGTGGCGTAGCTGGTTGCGCTGCTGCACTTTTGCTGCCTGCCGAGTCCCCTGCCGCCGCGCCACGATTCCAGCCACAGCTGCGTGCGGCTGAGGCACAGAAACGGGTTCAGTAGCAGGGTTTGCGTCTGATCCGGTTTCTCCGGCTCACCCGGTCGCGTCGGTGTGGGTGCAAGCCGTTTCTCGGAGGCAGCCGCCATCTCGACTGGGTTGACGCTCGCTGGGGCGACGCCTGCCCTGGCCACCTGGGGCGAGGGATCGGAGGCCGGCCAGAACATCGACCCAGCGCGGTGGCCCAGAGGCTGACAAAAAAGCCTTTTCAGCAGCTGTGCCGCTGAGAGTTGCGCTGAGGACTCCACTGAGGCTTACAACCGCAAGGCGTGAGCTTTCTGCCAGGGGCTCTTAGCCCTCGATGAATCCGATGAAGCTGTCGGCAGATCCTGAATGCTACGGCCATCTGCCTGACCTTCGCCGTCTTCCTGGTAGGACTCGTGGTCAGCCAGGCCGGTTCTCGAGCCCACCAGTACTCCGCACGTAGGCCCTAGCTAGATTCATGAGTTTGCATCCGTCGGCAGGCACGCAAGCTGGTCGAGAACAGGTGGCTGAATTGAGCTCCTCATCTGAAATTCTTTGCCGAGGCTGTGCAGCAGTTCTCTCCGGGACGTTGGCCGGCGCGTGCTGTTGTTTCAGAAACCGGAAAAATTTCGAATTTCCGGTGTCAAAATACGAGAAACCAGTAAGTCCCTACTACGCATGATGGAGAGGTAACCACTTCCGAAGAAAGTCTGATCTCGACAACTGCGACCATATCGGGCGACATTCGTTCCCAGGGCCGCGGCTGGCAGACAATGAGGATTTGCTCGGACATTACCGAACTTCAAAGCCGCGTCACTGCCAGGGTCTTTGAGCGGAATTCCTTGGCTCGGTTCCGGAAAAACCGAGACTGATGACCACTTCGTTTCCAAGGCCTCGAAAGCCGGACAAATCCACCGAGAAGAGGGTTCGAGAACACCTCCGAAGTTGCAGAGCATCAAGATGCGTTAGAGTCATTAGAGCTCGCAGCAGGATCAAGAGTTCAGACTTCCAAGATAGAGTGAAACGATGCAGCCAGCGATCATGAATCACTGTTCTCTCTCTCGCTTGTGCCTCCAATCAAATCCTTGTAAACCGTTGGCCTTGCGTGTCAGCATCCCGAGACATGCAGCCGTCCGAGACGAGCTATGCGCATGCCGACACCTTCCTCAAAAGTCAGTTCTCAATGAACAGCTTCATCAAAACTCGCAGTGGCCATGTTGGTGAGCATCACCCAAAAATGCAATGCTAAGTCATTATAAGGGCTTGTTTACACCTGGCATTCGCCAGCCATCCGAATGTGCCGGCAAGTAGCGGGGCTTCGATCTCCTGACAGTTGTTCGGAACATGGTAGCAATCAACAGGAGGCGTCACAGCGCGGTTGCGTACGCTGATCGTGACGCATGTGGTCCCTTCGGTGCCTGCATCCGAATCCAGCCATAGCCCTGTCTATTGTAGAATTGTAGACACTCAAGACGTACGTACGAAAGAGCAGTGGGGACAAGCACCACAACGACCAGCGGGAAGATGACAGGTCAGCCAGCGGCAAGACCACATCCACAAGACACGCCACGGCATCCACTGAAGACCATGAAACAGTGCAGCGGTAGGGACGGGAGGAGCGACCCGAACCAGAGATGCAGTGGTGTAGGAGCACCAAAATCGTCTTAGCTCGACTTGGGTAACTTTGTGCCTATTTGACGCACCAGACATGGCCCCTCGATCCAGCCGGACTCCGAGGCTGGCTTTGGGAGGCAGTGCTTTTTGCCTCCTGGCAGCAATGCCGGCACCGGAGAAGTCGTAGCCCCGAGAAGAAACACGTTCTGTGTGGGGGCATTCTGTGTAATTTGGTTTTGATTGTGATGCACACGTTAGCCGTTGGCGTTTGTTCCTTCTTTTTCTCACGTTGAAGGGCTGTGACACACCAGATCCGAATCCGTCTTAATCGAAATTGAAACCGATCCCGCGGTCTTTGGAGCGAAAGAAGTGCCCAAGCAAAGTTGAGAAGAGCAATCAGAAAGCGGCAACCCGAGGTCAAGGTACCAACGATTTCTCATGTTCAACTTACGCATGTGTGTGAAATGTACTAACGTCAGGCAGGTCGAGGGGCTCAGTTTCTTCTAAGACAGTGCTGTCGCCACTGTCGCAACGCAGTGGGGCAGTCAGACTTGAAGAGGCTGCAAGAGGTTTCGGCAGAGATTAGCACCCGTGTTTGCCAGGATGGTGGAGTGCACACTGGCTCGTGCCAGGATTGGACGTGGTCCAAGCTCCCAGAAAAAGGGCCGGACGCGCCTGACCTGCGAGCACTTCTCGCATGCCTTGTCACTGCTGATTCTCGTTGGCATGTGTGCTCGTATATCCGACAGGCATTTTGCAGACGAGTCATTTGGAACTCATGTGAGCCAAGACCAAGTAAGACCAAGCAAAACCCACTACTCGACATCCAAGCAGCGCCTCCACGCAGAAAGAGCTCAACGTCGCAAAACCAAACCCTCTTCAGGGCGCAGTCGCAGTGAGGGCCCAGCTCTTGTTCCGAGGGCCCAGCTCGCGGCATGGAGATGCGAAGCGCGCCCTCCACAGCAGCTGAGCTCGTTTTAACAGTAGGGTCTGCAAGTCCACACGGGCATGTTTCGTTTACGTCACAGATCACAAACGCGTCCTCTCGCTCGCTTGTAGCTTGGCCCTCAACTGCTACCAGGGCGAATGGTGCTTGCATTGTCACACTGTAGTAGCCATCATTGGGGCGAGGGAGACGGCGCGGCTTCAAGTTTGCTCTGGAACTCTGGGTCGAGAGAGGGCAAACTTCTGGGATGGTCGCGAGGGGAAGGGCTTTTCCCTCCCACCCCACACCACCTACCCCCACCGACATCCCCCTGCCCACTCCCACCGCAGCCCCCGCCCCACCCATCCACACCCATCCACATCCATACCCACCTACACGCGCCCTCGCCAGATCTGCCAGATTCTCGTCGAACCCGCCTTGAGATGTGTGTGAGCGATTGGAGTTCTGGGATAGACTTGGCCATTTAAAGACGTGCGTAGCAACCGGAAAAGGCTTGTTGATTACCAGTGAACCATTTAAGCGCTGAACTCAATCTCTTTGCCCAGGCATTGCGCACAGGTGCGGCACATGCTCCGCTCCAGACGCCGCAAATCCTGCAGGTTTGGGCGAAGCCGAGACATGCGCGTGAAGGCCCAATGAGTTCTGGAACAATCGTGGTCTTTATGGTATATTTCAAAGGAGAGCCTCGGGGAGACGGGCTGAAGTAAGGTGAGGGGGGGGGGGTTGTTTTCAGGCATGGCCACTGGGCCTTCCCGGCCATGGCAGCTGGCGCCAGTTCTGGTCGGCCTGGCTTTGGAGGGGCGCCGACGGTCAGAGAGGTCGTCGAGGCATCGCAGTGAGAGCCTCGAGTGCTTGTATCTCAAGTCGCCTCGCCTGCGGATGCCTGCGGACAGGGCGCCGTCCCGGTCTTGGCGGTGCCACACGGCCAGACGAGCTCTAGAGCCAGGCAGTTCACCGGAAGACCGGATCCGTAACTTCTCCATCATCGCGCACATCGACCATGGCCCTCTGGCAGCAACGGCGCCCCAAACCCAGTCACGTGCGCTGCTGAATTCTGATTGTCTCAGGCAAGTCGACCCTTGCGGACCGTCTGCTGGAGATCACCGGCACGGTTACCAAAGAAGACATGAAGCAACAGCTGTGCCCTGGATCTGAAAGCGGCATGTTATTGCTTGTCGAGCAGTACATGAACAACGGCAACGTGCAAGAACCCGTGCACAGGCTTTCGGTTGAGAAGAAAACGTCGTCCTTCAATCAGTTCGCTTTAAGACATTCGAAGAGCAAGCGACACAGTCTGCGACCACCGCAGGTCCGTATGCAAGGTTCGCGAGTCCCGATTCGCTTCAGGGCTCGACAGCTGCGGTTGCACCCCGGACATCTCTACAAGAAAGGCAGTGTGCGCCTGGTCATGTCCCTGTCCATGTGCATCGCAAGAGCAGGTACTACGGCATTGCGTGTGATGATGTCCCCTCCCGACCCACCACCACGCATATTTGTTGTCGTTTCGCAGGCTAAAGCCTCAGGTTTCGTCATGTCGCTTTTAGATTATG